TCCTTCCTAGTCTGTTAATATGGTAAATTACATTGATTTTCTAATGTTGAACCAAACTGACCTTCCTGGAAGAAATACATTTGGTCATGCATTTCTCTTTATATATTTTTGGATCAAATTTGCAAAAATTTTGGATCCTTTTATATATTTTTGGATCAGATCCCTTTTATATATTTTTGGGTCAAATTTGCTAAAATTTTATCAAGAATTTTTATACCTATGTTCATGAGGTTTGTGGCTTTCCTTTATATAAAGTCTTTGTCAGTTTTGGGTATCAGAGTAATGATGGTCTCATAAATGAATAGGAAAGTGTCCCCTCCTCTTTCATTTTCTGGAAGACTATGTAGATCAGGTATTATTTCTTCCTTAAATGTTCAGCAGAACTCACCAGTGAAGCCATACAGGCCTAGAGTCCTCTTTGTTAAAAGGTTTTGTAACTATGAATTCAATTTAATAGATATGGGGCTATTCAGATGATCCATTTCTTGTTAAGTGAGCATTGATAGCTTGAGTCTTTCAAGGAACTGGTTCATTTAATTTAAATTTCAAATGCATTGGCATAAAATAACTCCTAATATTTCCTAATTATTTTTAAATTTTTAATTAAAAATTTTACTGAGCTCACCGTAGATTCACATGCGGTTGTAAGAAATACAGAGAGATCCACTGTACACTTTGCTTAGTTTCCCCAATGGTAACATTCTGCAAAACTATAATAGCACAATCAGCATATTGATGCTGATACAATCTATCAATTGTGTTCAGATTTCCCCAGTTTTGCTCGTATTCTGTGCATGCGTGGGTGTATGTGTGTGTAAGAAGTTCTATACAAATTTATCACCTGGGTGGATTCATGTCCACCACCAGTCAAAATACTGAACAGTTCTAACACCAAAAATGCCTCATGTTGCCCTTTTGTAACCATACCCCCTACCCTCTAACTTCCCTTACTTCTGGTAACCACTAATCTGTCATTTATGAAATTTTGTGATATCAAAAATGCTATATAAGTGGAACCACATAATATCTAAACTTTTGGGACTGCTGCCTTCTTATTATTATTATTATTTATTATTGGCTGTGTTAAATCCCTAGAGATTTACCCAAGTTGTTGCATATGTCAATTGTTCATTCTTTTTATTGCTGAATAGTATTCCATGGTATGTATATACCACAGTTTGTCTAACTATTCACCAGCTGAATAGCCACTGCAGACATTCATGTACAGGTTTTATGTGAAGTTTTCACTTCTGTGGGTTAAGAGCCCAGAGAATGTCTTTTAATATCTGTAGGATCTATAATGAAAATATTCCTTCTTTTACACCTAACATGGGTAATTTTTGTCTTCTCTCTCTTCTTTTTTGATCAGTTTGGCATAGGTTAGCAATAGTACTGCTTTTTTTTTTTTTTTAAGATTTTATTTATTTGACAGAGAGAGAGAGACAGCGAGAGAGGGAACACAAGCAGGGAGAGTGGGAGAGGGAGAAGCAGTCTTCCCGCCAAGCAGAGAGCCCGATGTGGGCCTCGATCCCAGGACCCTGGGATCATGACCTGAGCCAAAGGCAGATGCTTAACAACCGAGCCACCCAGGCACCCAGTATTGCTCTTTTCAGAGAGCCAACTTTTGTTTTCATTGCATTTCTCAAGTTGTTTTGTTTTCTATTTCACTTATTTCTGCTCTTACTATAATTTCCTTCCTTCCTCCTTCTTATGATTTCTAATTTTTTTAAGGTGAAAGTTTAGGTCCTTGATTTGATTTGAGACTCTAATATAGGCATTTAGGCTATAAGTTTCCCTCTATGCACTGCTTTAGCTGCATCCACAAATTTTGATATGTGGGGTTTTTATTTTCATTCAGTTCAAAATGCTTTCTAACTTCCTTTTTGGTTTCTTTGCAACCCACAGGCTACTTAGAAGTGTGTTACTTAGTTTCCAAGCATCTGGAATTCTTCCCAGATATCTTGTTTGGTTTACTGGCTTCTAACTTAATTCCACTGTAGTCAGCGAACATGATTCTTTATAAATTATTTTTGATACTTGTTTTAGTGCCCAGAATAGTCTATCTTGTCAAAAATGTTCCATGTTCTCTTAAAAAGAATGTATATTGTATAAAAGAATGAACACATTCAGGGGCGCCTGGGTGGCTCAGTCATTAAGCGTCTGCCTTTGGCTCAGGTCATGATCCCAGGGCCCTGGGATCGAGCCCCACGTCAGGCTCCCTGCTTGGCAGGAAGCCTGCTTCTCCCTCTTCCACTCCCTCTGCTTGTGTTCCCTCCCTTGCTGTCTCTAATAAATAAATAAAATCTTTAAAAAACAAAAACAAAAAAAAGGAGTGCCCTGTCCTTAAAAAAAAAAAAAAAAAAAAAAAAGAATGAACACATTCAAAGACCAGAAGAACACTACTGTTATTGGGCAGTGTTCTATAACTGTCAGTTAGGCAATTTTGCTCTTCTACTCTTTGAAATTATAGCCTATTTTCTGTCTGTTGAGAGAGAGATGTTGAAATCTGATTATAACTGTGGATTTCTCTAGAATCTAGAGTCTAGATCAATTGATCATCTTCCCATAATGAAATGGCCCTCTTTATATCCAGTAGTATTCTTTGCTATGAAGTTCAATTCATCTAATAATGGAGTCATTCCAAAAGTTGGTGTGTGTTTTTTTTTAATTAGTCATAGCCTGAAGTATCTTTTTCCATCCATTCTAACCTATCTTCATTTTGTATTTAAAAAGTACGTTTCTGGGGCACCTGGCTGGCTCAGTCAGAGAAGTGTACAACTCATGATCTGAAGGTCATGGGTTCAAGCCCCACGTTGGGTGCAGAGATTACTTCAATAAATAAATTCAAAAAAAAATAAAGTATGTTTCTTGTAGATATCCTACTACACCTCTGCCTTTAAATTGGGGGTATTTAGACCATTTGCACTTAGTATGATTATTGACATGACCACCTTGCTATTTGTTTTCTATTGGCCTCATCTCTTTGTTCCTCTTTTCCTGCCTTCTTTTGGATTTTTTTATGATTCCGTTTTTTTTTTTTTGTCTTATTAATTATAACTGTTTTATTTTTTGTTTTGTTCTAGCTTTTGGTAATTGCTTTAGAGTTTCCAGAACACATCTTTAACTTTTTATTACATTATAACACTTCATGTAAATACAGTAAGAATCTTCCAAGTGTATACTTCTATTCTGCCTCTTCCTGCCTTAGTAAACTATGGGCATACATGTTACTTCTACATATGTTATAATCTCAAAACATATTGTTACTGTTTTTTCTGTGATCAATTTTTTTTTTCGTTTTTTGTCTTTTTTGTTTTTGTTGTTTTAGAGGGTGGGGGGCAGAGGGAGAGGGAGAGAGAGAATCTTAAGCAGGCTCCAGGCCCAGCAGCACAAGCCCAACACAGGGCTCAATCTCATGAACCTGAGATCATGACCTGAGTCAAAATCAGGAGTCAGATGCTTTAACTGACAGAGCCACCCAGGCAGCCCATGTGTTAAATTATGTTTTGAAGAGACATAAAAGTGACAGCGAAAGTGTTTTATGTTTATCTACATAATTATTTCTGGTGATAAACTTTATGGTTTTTATCAAATTTAGAAAAAATTTTTGGCTGTTACTTCTTTAAATATGTTTTCGGTCTTTCCACTTTCCTCTTCTTTGGAGATTCCAATTTATACATGTTTCTGTTCTGGTCTTTCTTTCTTTCTTTTTTTTTTTTTTTAATCTTTTTCTTCCCTGGGTTCCATGTTGGACACTTTCTACTAGTATGTCTTCAAATTCACCAATCTTTTCTTCTGCAGTGTTTAATCTGCCTTTAAATCCATCCAATGTATGTTTCACCCCAGACATTCTCATCCCTAGCCTAGGACTAGTTTTTCCTCACAACTGAAGCAACACTTTTCTCAGTGCCCTCTTTGAGGCCCAGTATGTTGTGAGTTTTGTCTACTCTGATTGGAAATGCAAACTACTCTTGGCCCTACATGATCTCTGGGGATTGTACTGTGTGTTCATTTCTACTGGTTTTTCTCCCAGCCTTGACTTGTTTCCTCACATGTATGTGCTTATCAGTACTCAGGTGAAGACTCAGGGGGAACTCTGCAGATGTTAAGAGCTTTTTCTTTATATTCAGCTCTCTATTCTCCATGCAGCTCTCTCCTGCAAATTCTAGCCAACTTGACCTCTCTGACTTCTCAACTCTATATGCTCAACTCAGAAGGAATGACAGGATCTGTCTTGGCCTGCTTCCTGTACTATGACCTGCAAACAGTCTCCTACTAATAAGCTGGGTCAACTGAGGGGCTCATCTTTTTTTTTTTTTTTTTTCCCTCCTCCGAGGAATCAATGTCCTATGCTGCCTATTGGCCACTGTCTGGAAACCCCTGTCTTAAGGTTTTGTCTGGGATTTGGGGGTCGTTTAAAGTGGGATTGTAAACTGGGTCATGAGGGTGGAGCCCTAAGAGATGGGATTAATGCCCTTGTAAAAGAGGGGTCAGAGGGTGATCTTCTGCCATAAGAGGATGCAGTAAAAATAGGGCTGTCTATGAGCCAGAAAGCAGGATCTCACTGGACACTGAGTCTGCTGGTGACTTGATCTTGGATTTTCCCAGCCTGCACACCCATGAGAAATAAATGTATTTTGTTTATGAACCACTAGTCTGTAGTATTCTGCTATAGCAGCCCCAATGGGCTAAGACAGGGGTCACTTCTCAGAGGGCCTGAGAAGTAGGGTAAAATGGAATACTCTGTACCATAATGTTAAATACTAGGAAAGCATTCCTTTTGGTGAGATCTGAAGGGCAAGAACTGGGTCTCAGAGGCAGAGGATGCCACCGCCAAGCCAGGAAATAGACTACAAACCAGGAACAGCTGAAGGTAAGTACAGAGCCTATTCCAGTGTGTGTTGATTTCTAAGGCCCTTTCAGCTCTATAAATGCACGGCACTAGGAATCTTATATAAATGCTTAATTAAAAAAAAAAAATCAATAGTATTTCTACTCACAATGGCCCTGTCTCCATGGAGACATTGACATGTGCTTTGATTTTCAAATCCTTCTGAATTTTCGGGTCGCAGGCTTGCCTGAAATTGCCCAGGTAGATCTTGCCTGGCATGATTTCAGCAGGGTAGGGCTGAAAGGCATCCAGTTCCTGAGGGAAAGGAAGGAGAAAGGCTGCTATATAGAATACATATGCTATATGTCATAGAACAAGATATTCTTTCCCCAGGGAAGAAGCTGTTTTTGGTTTTTGTTGTTGGATTTTTTGTTTGTTTTTGTTTTTGTTTTCTGGTTCTTGAAATGTGGCTCAGCATTAGAAAGATAATCCAGAATAATGAATGAGACTGACTTGCATGAGGAGTTAGAAGGCTGATAGTAACAGGATGGAGCCACTGAGCCATGGGACAGCATGCTGCATCTGAATGTGGACATCCCACTTAGCCCCCATGGCACCTGTGTGCACTTTGAGGGGTGCACAAAGACTGGCATCTGAAACCCCTTGATGCAGAACTGCATAAATCCAGAGCGTGTCCAGTAGGGGGAGGGGGAGGGTGGGAAGCCTTATATTATTACATATTATAATTGTATTATATTATATATTGTCATTGATGGGACAGCCCTTCTATTATATAACTATATATTATAATTATCTTATTAATAACACAATTATATAATATTTTTGGAGGCCACCAGAATTTTAACACCTTCTTAAAAGAAAAAACCACTAAAACTACTCACATAGAGCCTATTTGTCATTAGGAACTAAATTCTGATGAGTTCTGATGTAGACAGGTAGGGAGGACAGGGCACCACTTAAATGGGAGCTCACTGGAATTCCAGGTCCAAAGTTATGATATGAAAAATTGGGGTTTCTTTGAAAAACAAAGACACAAAGAACAAGATGATTCCTACATTCCCCCAAAGTGTGTCCTAGAAAACAGTGGTCCCTCGCAATGCACTGTGAAAAAAAGGATTTAGAGAATCAAGTACATATGGGAAGCAGTACCTAGGATATCCCTGTCTCAGAAATTCACAACGTACATTACTAAGTAAAGGCAGGAGAAGTAAACGGCAGTAAAGAAATCTGATAACTACAGCCACTATGGAAAACAGTATGGAGTTTTTTCAAAAACTTACAAGTAAAACTACCATACGATCCAGCCATCCCACTTCTTGGTATATATCCAAAGGAAATGAAATCACAATGTTGAGGGAGTATCTGCCGTGTTCCTTACAGCATTATTCACAGTAGCCAAGACACAGAAACAACCTAAGTGTCCATTGACAGATGAACAGATAAAGAAAATGTGGCATGTATACAGAATGGGAGATTATTCAGTCCTGAGAAAGAAGGACATCCTGCCATTTGTGAGCTTGAGGGCATTACTCTAAGTGAAATACAGGAATACCTCACCTTATCGTGCTTCATTTTATTTTGTTTCAGAGATACTGCAATTTTTACAGATTGAACATTTGCGGCGACGCTGCATTGGGCAAGTCAATCAGTGCCGTTTTTCAACAGCATTTGCTCCCTTCGTGTCTCTATCACATTTCGGTCATTCTCACAAAATTTCCAACCTTCTCATTATTATTATATGTATTATGGGGATCTGTGATCAGTGATTATGATCACAGATATGTGATCAGTGATTATGACCCACTGAAAGTTCAGATGATGGTTAATATTTTTTAGTAATAAAGTATTTTTAATTAAGGTATGTCCACTATTGGGGCACCTGGGTGGCTCAGTCAGTTAAGCGTCTCAGGTTATGATCCTGGAGTCCTAGGATTAAGCCCTGCGTCAGGCTCCCCGCTTGGCAGGGAGTCTGCTTCTCCCTCTGCCCTTCACCTGACTCGTGCTCGTTCTCTCTCGCTCTCTGTCAAATAAATAAAATCTTAAAAAAAAAAGGGGGGGTATGTCTATTTTTTTTAGACGTAATGCTATTGCCCACTTAACATACTACAGTATAGTCTAAACATAACTTTTATACACAGCAAAAAATTCATTTGCCTTGCTTTATTACAATATTTGCTTTATTGTAGTGGTCTGGAACCAAATCCACAATATTTTCAAGGCATGCCCTAAGTCAGACAGAGAAAGACAACTACTGCATGATCTCACTTACATGTGGAGTCTGAAAAGGCCAAATTCATAGAAACAGAGAGTAAAACAGTGGTTGCCAGGGGCTGGGGAGTGGGGGAAATGGGAGATGTTGGTCAAAAGGATACAAACTTCCAGACATAAAGAGGCACAAGTTCATGGGGACTTCAGTTAATACTGTGTTATATACTTGAAAGTTGCTGGGAGAGTAGATCTTAAATGTTCTTACCACCACACACAAAAAAATGGTAATTAGGTAAGGTGATGGTTAGGTTCATTAACCCTATTTGGAGATCATTTCACAATATACAAATGTATCAAATAAACACATTGTATACCTTAAACTTATATATGTTATATGTCAATTATATCTCAAAAAAACTGAAGGGGAAAATTTACAAAATCTGATTGTTCCAAGGAAAGATTATGAGTGTCAACCAGGTGGTTAGAAAAAATTGTCATCAAATAATAATTTACAAACTAGTTAGGAAACAGCCGGTAAAGCATGGCAGGCTAAAACTATTCTCAAAGTGTACCTCCGAGGAACTGCTAAAAACCTTCCTACTGGTTCCTCGGGCCAACTTTGTGGCCCAGATGTTTATCATAACACATTGGCTACATGTTTATTATTGGCATGGGTTGAAAATCACTCGTGATATTTAGTACAAAAGCTAAGCATAACCTCAAGAAAACAAACAAAAACCACACTCACGTTGTATAAACTGTTGTTTCCAATATGATCTGTTTGGAGGTCCCTTTCTTGTGTGAGTATTCCACGGGAAATGCTGACCTATGTGATTTCAAAGGTCAAACCTAGTTCTAAAATTCCTCTGGCTCCAAGTCAGACTCAGAAATAAGCACCGCAGGCTACTTTGGCTGTCCAGAGGCTTCAGAGCCTTCTGGCCTTAGCACATCGCCCCTCCCAGTGAGCCCACTGCAAGCCCACATCCTTCCCAAGCTGTCGGCCTCAAAAAGCCTTTCTCAGAGAGCAGACAGCAAGCCAAGCCGATGCTCAAGTGTGCGAAAGGGACGCAGGACCCTTCTACCTGCAGACAGGGCCGCTCCATAGGACCCAAAGCTTCCCCAGAGCTCAGGCTGACCACACCCAGGATGCTCAGCTTGCTGGATCCAAAGGACACCCTCCTAGTTTCACCTGGAAAATCTCACTGAACACCCAACACAGATCTATCAACTCTTCCTGCTGCTTTCAAACCAGCTTCCTTTCCTATGGCTGTGTGGCAGGGAAAAACACACCGGGCTGGTAAGAGCAAGCGCGTGTTAATTCTAGATGCCATGATTCTAGATGCCATAAGGATGTCCAAACTGAGCCCACTGCTCTCCCCCACACTGCCTCTGCCTCCCGTGTCCCCCACCTGTCACCCACACAGGGAATCAGGGTACTAATCCCAGGCTCCTACCTCCCCGCATGTCCCGCCCTCACCGCACTACCCCCCCCACCGTGTCTAATCAGTGCCACTACCCAAGTGTTTCCTGAATCTGTCCTCTCCTCACCATAGTGGCCTTCCGCCTCCCCCAGAACCCCCTGGCAGCCCCCACGGGTCTGCCTTCCACACCACGATCGCTGGTGAACTTTCTCAAGTGCCATCTGACAGCACCAGGCACCCCGGGGCTCACCACCATCTCTCTCTGGTGTGGGCTTCACGTTTTGGTCCCCGAACCTTTTGCTCCAAGCGAAATCTCATTTAAGGGAGGCCACGTGTAAAGCAGAGGAAATGAGAAGTCGCTCTGTCCAAAGGCCACATTCAGCGCCGCCACCCGCCCTCCTAGAAGGAGTTCCTTGGGTAGCAGCAGGGACACCCCTGCTTTCCAGTCTCAGAGCACATAGCAGAGAGGAGTGGGGCTTTCACTCGTGCCCCTGAACTACTAACAAAGGTCCCAAAGCAGGGAGCGACAAATACTAGGTGCCTACACTCTAAGGAGGGCCACAGACACCTAGGGCAGAACCCTGCTAGCTGCCACCACCATCCACCACGCACCCCTCTTCCCAGTCTACCTGAGATGGGGCGAGGGCAAGTCTCAGGGGTATACACATGTCGACACTGACCAAAATGTACATTTAAATACGTGCACAAACTTACTGATGAACTTACTTATAGGCTACTGAACCTTACTAAAGCTTGTTTTCCAAAGGGACGGAGGTGAGTTATCAGCAGGGTGAGGTTTGCAGAAATACTTATTTTGCACAAGGAAAAGCCAGTAAGGGGTGCTCCTCTAGGAGTGAGCAGTGCCTGGCAGGACAGGGAGACTGGGGGGACACCAGTGGAGCTGAAAATCATAGTGTGAAGGAGGGCAGATGTGGTCAGGGGGTCATGGACTGCCAAAGTAAAACAAGGAATTGGGGGTGCTCCTGGCAGGAAGTCTTGGATGGTTTTCTTTGAAAGATTCTTAGTAGCAGATGGGGCCCGTAAACCGGGCCCCAAGGAAACCAGCAGCTAAGGCCACCAGCAACATACAGAACCGGGCTGGAACAGAGTGAGAAGTCCTGGCCCCACCGCTGACGGGCAGCTAGTCCCACAAGACAGGCCCCACCCTGGACCCCCAGCACCGAAGTCACAGGCCCAGGAGCAAGGAAGAGAGGAGAGGTCCCTGCAGCTAACCCACACCCCTGGCCACTCCCACCCCAACAAACTGAAGACTGCCCAGCTCTGGGGGATGGGAAGAGATGAGACTTAATCCAGATCTGAGATTGGAAGGTTAAACTAGCCTCGCTTGTACTGGCCTGATCACTTTTCTTCTCTTTTAAGAAATTATTTTAAAAATATGCAAAAGTAGAAAGAATAGTATAATAAACCCCTGGGTCAATCACCCATTTGCAAATATCATCAACTAATGGCCAGTTTATTTTAGCTCTATCCTCACCCACTTCCCAACATACCCCAGATTATTCTGAAAAGCCAGACATCATATTGTTTTACCCCATAAATATTTCATTCTGTATCTCTGAAAGATCCAGTTGATATACACATTTCCCCTCTCATTTTATGATTAGCTTAAAAGTCGTCAGAATTTCTGGAATGTGCCCAAGATGCTGCTAAGGGCAAAGAGCCAAAGGTAATTACTAGAAAGAATGAAGCCCCCACATGTCTACATCCCACTGCATTCAGACTCTTCAATAAGCCCCCTGCTGTATGATGCCCTCCAGGGACCAGCCCCTGCCTGTCGGTCATGGCCACCCCATGGCCACCCCGTGCCTGCCTCAGCCACCCTCCACCCACCTCTCTTCCTAGTAAGTTCCTCCTCCTCCTTCTGGTCTGGCTCCAGGAGGGGCCTCACCTCACCTGGGGTGCCCCTTGTCTCTCCCGCTAGCCAAGAACTCCTCATAGGCAGGATGCTAGCTTGTCCTTTTTGTGTCCTCTGGGCTTGTGGGTCCAGACAGCTGAGAATGGACAGGCAGCCTTAAATTGTGGCACCCCTGCCTGTCTTTGATGACAGCCTGACATCCAGAGCACCCCCTGGAACCCCTGCCCTCTGGACAGGCCCCACCTCTTCACCACCGTGCTGACTCTGGCCTGAATCCAGCGATGAGAAATTCACCCTCGTGGCCTGGACCTCCTGGCTGCTCCAGGTCCATTTCCCAAGCACAGTCTCCATCCCTTCCATCATTCCCATGTCGCCCAACTCCTCTTTCCCCTATCCTGCTCCCCATCCCTTGGTCAACCAGGGGGAGACCATGCTTCCATCCAAGCCTGCCTGGGCTCAGTACCCTGCCTCACCTGTGGCATCCAGATGATCTTCTGTGTCCGGAGGAAGTGGTACATGGCTGAGAAGCGTTCATAGCCTCCTTTCAGGATGCAGATGGGGTGGTGGGTGAGGTGGGCCAGCACCCTGCCACACTCCACGGCAGCTCCGGGCACCAGTTCTAAGAGCAGAGACCAAAGAGGTGAACAGCCCCTGTGTGCTCATCGTTTGCCTAAAGCTCCAGTTGACGGCCACTCGATTTGGAAAAGCAACGGTCTGGGAACCTGAACGAAATCTAAATGGAGAAGAGTGTTAACAACTCAAATTTAAGCCACTTGTTACCAAGTAAGTTGATCCTTCTTTTCTGTAAATTCTTAGATGATGCAGATCTCCACATTATTGCAAGGCAAGAAGATTTAACAGAAGGGAACGGTCTCTCGCATATATACATCACATATCATATACCAAACCATTCACCTAAGGGGGGTAAAGTAATGGTTTTCAGTATATTCACAGAGTTGTGCAACCATCACCCGAAAAAAGAAACCCTGTACAGGCTAGAAGGTTTCACTCCTTTTTTCCCTTCAAACACCCAGGCGGAGTGTTCCAATTTCTCCACATCCTCATCGACACGTGTTAGTATCAGTCTTTTTGATCGTGGCCGTTCTCGTGGGTGTGAAGGGACAGCTCATTGTGGGTTTGACATTGATTTAATCTTAAGTGCCTTCACTGCTCTGCAGAATCACTAGGAGACTCTATGAAAATTAGATATCTATCAGTAAGTTTGCATAATTAAGGCTAAGCCAAGATACCCCCCACCGCCCCGAGGCCACGATCTGAGCCCTAAAGACAAATATCTCACTGCAGACTTTGAAGAACCAGCTAAAAGGGGAAAGGGAAAGGCCAGGACTCTGACTCTGACTTTTATATTGAACCTCTGGCCAGAGAAAGCCGGTTCCAGCAGGGGCTGCTGAGGACAATAGGGGCCCGAGACCCGTCTGGAGGACTGGATCTGGAGGAAGAGCCTTGGGGTCAGCAGCCAGGCCAGGAGAGAAACTGTGGCTGGCGAGAGACAGGAGCCAAACCCTATCCTAGAAGGCCTGGCTTAGAAGCCAGAGTCCCCGGTGTCTCAACACCATCTCCCTCTTGAGCAAGAGACTGAATAATGGCTGAGGGGTCAGAGGGTTCAGGAGAGCGGAGTCACAGGACACACTGCTGCTGTCTTTAAGCCAGACAGCCGCTCTCCCACCAATGTCACATGACCCACTGGAGGCTTATTCACTGGGGTGCCGTGGGGTCAGTGCCAGAGAAAGCCCAATTTCCAGGAGAATAATTAGAGATTGCAGAGGAGAGCCATGAGGACAGTCCGGGGCCCAGGCTACCCAACCACAGATATGATGGGGTTATTAACATTAAATTTATTTTTAGTCCCATTAATCTGGAGTTCTCCAATGACACGAGGCTTCGCACACTTTGAATTGGGGCACCCACTACTTCAGGAGGATGAGAGACCCCATCCAGGCCAACGGGCTCTCTATGCAGCAGCGAATTTTAAGTTAATTACTTCGGGTCCTTAGCCAGGCAACTGGCTTGAAAGTCAGGCTTTGTTCAGAGAGGAGGAGGAAAAAAAATGCCCACATTCCCAAAGCTTCCCCCCACAGTTATGGTGAACGCTCCAGCCCAGGGAACCCCACCCACATCTATCAAGAGCCCCGTCTGAAGGGTCTATAATCCATATGTTGCAAGGAAGGCAGGCCGATTTAACATAAGGGAAATGTCTCTCCTCCAAGAAGGGGGCTGCCTTTTGCCTGGTGAAAGGAGTTTAGAGAAAGAGCCCAAGGGAAGGTACTCTTCAGGTTCCTAAGAAGAGACCCAGCTGAGAAGGTAAAAACACCATGTTTGCAGGGACAGGGGTGCTAAAAACCACCTGTGCCCCGCTTCCCACTAGGAATCCTGAGACAGCACCCCCCCCCAGCAAGGCGGGAGAGGAGAGAAGTTGCCATAGCCCAGGGACCAGCAGCACCTGTGGAACACCTGGGAAGGAGGTCACAGTGCTAGGGGAGGGAACCCCTCCTGACTCACCCTAGACGGGGACATTTCAGCCACAGACACAGCAAGGACAGAGGCCCGTGGCCCAAAGCCAGCAAGAGAGGGCTACACAGAGTCGGACCCCTGCTTCTAGGAGGTGATGGAGGCTCCACACGACCAGATTTCCTTGGGGGGTGGTGAGGTGGATGCTTAACAGTAGAAAGGGGAAGGGAAGAGAAACCTCGAAATGGTCTTTTACCCCAGAGACTCTGCATTCACCTGAAAGATGCCATTTTAAAGGAGAAAAGTGCCTTGAGTGGACAAGGTGAGAGTGTGTGTGTGTATGTCCGTGTGTGTGTCCGTGTGTGTGTATCCATGTGTGTGTGTCCGTGTGTATATGTCCGTGTGTCCATGTGTATCCTTGTGTCCGTGTGTATGTCCATGTGTTTCCGTGTGTCCATGTCCCCATGTGTGTACGTGTGTGCATCCGTATGTGTGTATGTCCGTGTGTGTGTCCGTGTGTGTGTCCGTGTATCCATGTATGTCTGTGTGTGTGTCCGTGTGTGTATGTCCGCGTGTCCGTGTCCTTGTGTGTATGTCCGTGTGTGTGTGTCCATGTGTGCCCTTGTGTGTATGTCCATGTGTGTGTCCGTGTGTCTGTGTCCATGTGTTTGTGTGTGTGTCCGTGTATGTCCGTGTGTGTGTCTGCGTGTGTGTGTCCGTGTGTGTGTCCGTGTGCGTGTGCGTGTGTACGTACACATGCATGCAGTTTGGGGTTTTGCTGTGTTGTTTTGCGGTTGTGGTTTCCTACTGAGAATAGGGCCTCCATGAGGTCATTTATAGAACATAAAGGGGGTTGTCTTTATTGACCACCGTTTCCTATGGTTTTAGGGTCCAGCCTACAATCCTAGGACTGCAGACTGGCACCAACCCGATAAACTTGGGGACGAGGGCACGATATCCTGGCGAAGGACCTCCTGTGAAGACTGGTTTTATTAAAGGTGGAAGCCTAGCGCCACCCAGTGACCGCTGCTGTGAGCGCCCGGGCCCATGGAAACCCCGACATGTTCACGGCTGAGCCACAAGCCGCAGAGCCCCGAGGCCAACGGCAAGGGGTTGTCAGCCCCAAACCAGGGGCTGGGTGGAGAATGCAGGGGCGCCTCAGAAAACAGGTAAGGTTAGAGCCCACCACGATTTAACGCTCCGGCTTGGGACTGGAGCGACTTTGCTTTGCTCTCCTGCTCTGCTATCCGGGCCCTGGGAGACCAGACAGAGCCAACCTGCCCGGGGTTCGAATCCCAATCCCACCACTTACGAGGCGTGGTGGTTTCAGAAACAGTCCACAAATGCTTTCAAACACGAGAAAGAATATTTGAAAGAATATAAAGGGAGGCTGAGTCTGATTCCCCACCCCTCGATGGTAGACTGCACCCAGTGACTTTCTTCTAATGAAGAGAACGGGGCAGAAGCGACCAGAAGTCTCAGGACTCCGTCGCAAGAGGCATGTGGCTGTCCCTTGCTCTCCCGCTCTCCTAGATGGCCTGCTCCAGGGGAAACCAGCTGCCGCGTCGTGAGGCCATCCAAGCGGTCCTACAGAGAGATCCAGGTGGCAGGGAATGGAAGGCTCCTGGCCATACCCGTGTGAGGCCCCTCGGATGCAGATCATCCCGGCCCAGTCAGACCTTCAAATGACAGGGACCCTAGCCAGCACCTCGACTGCAATCTCAGCAGACACGCCATACCAGAACCTGGTACCAGTTAACTAATATTTGCTGTATTAGGCTACTGAGTTTAGGGGCAATTCATTACATGGCAATAACTAACTAACTCAACACGTATGGGACCTTGAGTGAGTTACTGCATGCACCTTTCTGGGCCTCAATCTCCGCATCTATAAAATGGGGATGTTACCTATTAGAGACCATTCTCCATGGCCTCTCAGGTTTCTATGTGTCCTGTGAGCAAAGGTACTGGCTTTTCGAGAGTATCTGTATATCAAACAGCCTCGGAAGATAGATCGTTTCTCCCTCTAGAGCTAGGGGCGGGCGGGCTTTCTGCCCGTTATAAAACATTCAGGCCCTGGGAGCACCTGGGTGGCTCAGTCGGCTAAGCATCTGCCTTCGGCTCAGGTCATGATCTTGGGGTCTTGGGATCGAGCCCCGCATCGCATCGGGCTCCGCACTCAGCAGGAAGTCTGCTTGTCCCTCTGCCCCTCCCCCTGCTTGTGCTCATGCTCTCTCTCAAATAAAGTCGTTTATAAAAAAAGAAAAGAAAAAAAAAGATTCGGTCCCCTGAGCTCAGGGTTCTCCTGTAATACAACCCACGGTGTGGGTAGGTTTTTCTTGGCCCTCTTCCTGTCACCCTGTGAGAATGGGGGCTCGGGCGCCAGGGCAAGGAGAGGAGGACATTCTGGTTACTTTCGCTGCTCTGACCCGGGAGCCTCACGTCCTCTGCCAGCACTCATGAGGCTATGGCAGGCTCACCTGGCATTTTGCAAGGAAGGAAACCCCTCAGCCCCTCCCCCGCTCTTGGCATAACCCATTTCTCAGGGGCGTGTTCTGCAGGAGCTGACCCAGGGAGAGCCTTCGGTGTGGTTCCCGGCGTACCGCGAAAGGGCTCCATCACCACCAGTTGCTGCTCCGGCTGCGCTCCTCAAAACCTACCGTGTCTACCATCTTCGGTGTTGTCCTCCTCGTCCTCCCCTCTTAAGGCGATCTCCAGGGTGCTGGTGTTGTTATCATACACCACACAGTATTTCACGCACTCCAGATCCACAGACTCCGGGAGAAGATACTCATTTGCTCTCTAAAGAAACCACAGGAGAGGTCTGTTGGCGGGTGGTTCAGCTGGGCACATACTCCCCGCACTCCAGCCCTGGGCGCAGCTGGAGGGAGGACCGTGCCCATTCCCCCGACTACACACACAGGCCCGGAAGCACCGAGAAGGGACCGGAGGGTGTGCTGGACGCCGAGCACCTTCCACGCCCACACGACCTGCTGTGGACAAAGCTGGCCAGAGCTGACCGGACCAGAGACGGTGTCCTCACTTAAGAGCTGGTCTACCGAGTGGCCCGTGGCCCACTAAGGGGCCTGGCATGCATTCTCTCAGAGCAACCAAAGTGAGGACATCCTCTCTCTAGGGGAAAGTAGTTGGTGATGGAGGCCAAATCCAAAACCTGCCATAAGAAGGGCAATAAGCAGAAGGCTTGGATAAGCAGAAATCACGAGCAAGCGGATATAATGCGGCAGACTCACCTGTAGGCTCTGTTGAGAGCGGGAACTTTTGTTCTTTTGTAGTCGTTGATGTACTCTGAGCTTCTAGAACAGTACCTGGCATGTGGCTATAAATACGGTCAGAGGGAGGAAAGGGCAAGCAGGAACCAGGACGTCGTGAGTAGCCAGGAGCCGCTGAGTTGCCAGGAAGGCAGACCACGGGGGCAGGAACAATGCCCAGGACCCCAAAGGGTGTCCCAGAGCTTGAGGAGGCCTGGCTGGGTGGCGGCTGAGAGGTTAATCTTCACTCATTTACATGCTTCCCAAAGGCCCCCACTACTCAGGGGATCCCAAGCCTGACTCCGTCCCTTGCAACCTTGTCTGGCTGTCAGAGATGGCCCCACAGAGGACCTGCAGGTGGGGTAGAGTGAGTTTATATCGATTCTACTACAAGGCAGTCAAGCAAGGCCCATGGAGGGACAAACCAGAAAGTTCTCTGGGACTGAGCAGGGAGGAATCCCATTTGTCTGGAGGAACTAGGAGAGAGCCGGTGCTCAGGACGAGCAGGGTTTGCATGGATAATGAGGGAAGGGGGGTTTCTGGGTGTGGAGACGAACATGAGCAAAGGAGAAGGGAGTGGAGACGTGGAGCAGGTGGGAGAGCAGGACAGATGTGGCTGGACATTGACTTGTTCACTCAAATAAGCATACGTTGAGGGTCCACCCTACGTTTACACCGTGTGAGGTTCTGGAATACAGAGGTTCAAAGCAGCGCAGGCAAACACCCCGAGTTGGCCCAGAGGATTCAGAAAGGTTGTGCACAGTGGGAGGGATTGGAGCTGGGGCTGCAAGGGCAAGGGGAAATCTGCCAGACTGACAAGAGTGGGGAGAACGTTCCAGGCAGAAGGAACAGCTTCCGGTCGTTCACTTTAGTCAACAAACGTGCTGAGCCCATCCCAGATGCCAAGGACCAGATGGAGCCTCCGGGATACGGATGAGCAAGGCACATACATCCCTGTGCTCCCAGCAAAAGGTCTGGAGGCCTGAGAGAGCAGTGCGCTGGCGCGGGTCAGGGGGTGGGGGGGTGGGGGGATGCACAGGTACTCTGTCCAAGATTGAGAGACCATTGGTTGGGGCACCTGGGTGGCTCACTCGGTTAAGCATCTGCCTCCAGCTCAGGTCATGATCCTGGGGTCCCAGGATCAAGCCCATGCATCACATCAGGCTCCCTGTTCAATGGGGAGTCTGCTTCTGCCTCCCTTCCCCCACTCCCGTTCCCACTCCTGCTCTCTCTCTCACTCCTTCTAATAAATAAAATCTTAAAAAAAAAATAAATAAAGTACACACCAATTGTAGGATATATTGCAATTTCAGAAATGTTTGAATATGGGGGGTGGATATGTGCATCTTAGAACCAAGGAAATGCAGTAGAGCAGAACTGTTGAGGTGCCAGATGAGAATGGAAGTTTGCATGGCTGGGGCGCCCAGGTGGCTCAGTCACTTAAGCATCTGCCTTCAGCTCAGGTCATGATCTCAGGGTCCTGGGATCGAGCCCTGCGTCGGGCTCCCTGCTCAGCCAGGAGTCTACTTCTCCCTCTGCCCCTCCCCTTGCTTGTACTCTCTCTCAAATAAATAAAATCTTAAAAAAAAAAAAAGGAAGCATGCATGCTGGAGAGGGAGGCCAGGAGCACCCAGTTGGGGGCTGTGTGTCCTGCTGGGGCCGCGCTGGGGCTGTTGGCAGGAAAGTTGGGGAGGGGAGCCAAGAGGTGTCAGCCTGGCTGAGGCCCAAAGAATGTCTCTTCCAGAGCTGGAGGTGCTGCCAGAATCAAAAGAATATGCAGATATGAGAGTGGAGCCAGAAACTAGAGGTTGAAGCCAGCCAACTGAAAACCCCAGAAGTGGGGCTGGGGGTGGGGGAAGCAGGTAATGATGGGTTTGGGGTGGGGAGAGGGGGGTGTTAGGCAGTGAGCTTATCCTGCAATCAAATGCTCTAACCACTGAGCTACACCCCCCAAGCAGCAAGCTTATCCTGGAAAAATGTCTGAGCCAGGGCCCAGGCTCCCTGTCAAGTTCAGCATGGCAAAGGGTCAGAGATGGAGCGCATCCCAGCACAGCCACAGTGGGAAGGGAAGGGGTCAGTGTTGCCAGACAAAACTTTAGAAGTAAAACTGACAGGACAGCTAATTGCAGTTGGACAGCTGACGCTGGAAGCCGGAGTGAAATCTCTGAGCAAGAAGGTGCACTGACAGATTTAGAGCAAGGACGAAGTAGTGATCTTCTTCAGGCAGCAGCAGGAGAAAAGGAAGCTGAACCAAGGACACAGAGGAGAAACCGGGGAAGACAGACCTTGGGAGAAGAGGGTGGAGAATGAGGTCGGGATCCTGAGCGGAGGCTGCCAGGCTTGGCAATGACCTGACAGAGAAGACACCCTGTGGGGGTGGGGAAAGAGGCTTCAGTGCAGGAAGGGGGCATGGTGACTGTGTGCAGGGCTCAGTCTTTTTAAGAAAGGTGGAATAAGGGGCACCTAGGTAGCTCAGTCAGTTAAGCGTCTGCCTTTGGCTCAGGACATTGATCCCAGGGTCCTGGGATGGAGCCCCGCATCGGGCTCCCTGCTCAGCGGGGAGTCTGCTTCTCCCTCTCCCTCTGCCCCTCCCCCTGCTTGTGTGCTTGCACTCTCTCTCTCAAGTAAATAATTTTTTAAAAAAAGATGGAATGGGGGAGGAGCAGGGAAATGGGGAAGGGAAGGAAAGTGGCTTCCATCTTTGGATTATAGTTTTTTGTTAGTTTATTTATTTAAGTAATCTCTACACCCAGAGTGGGGCTCAAACCTGCAACCCCTAGATCAAGAGTTGCTTGCCCTTCAGTCTGAGTCAAGCTGGATTATAGTAATTATCTCGATGGTTTATTATTGTCTGTTCCCTGAGTAGGACAGAAGACAGTGAGCCAAGGGCATCTTGTATTCGGTTGTATCCCCCAAGGTCTGGAACAGTGCCTGGCCCATCAAGGAATTAAATCAGCATTTGCTCAGTGAAGCTGTTGGCCATGATGGGGGGTGGGGACACTGTAGGGAGCATGTGAGGGGTGTGGGAGACCCTCTTGGTGGATGCACAGGGGTGGTCCTGCCTCTGCTGCCCAGTGTCCCCCACCCTGCCGCCTCCTGGATCTAGGATAAAATCCCCCATTTCCCCCCACCCTCCTGTAAGGTGGCCAGCCTGCCCCACATTCAGACTCTCCCACTCTACCTTCTTCACTCGACGGGCTGTAATCACATGGCTTTCATCATACTCCTGTTTGGAACGCACATCTAGAAAGGAAAAGTATTTAATAACCGTATTTGCAAAGGAGCATATGATCAAACTACTTGGAATACTTGCACCATCCTCAACATATATTTGTTTGGCAGTTGGGTGATAATAATTGTCAGTTTAAAACAAGGCATGTGGGGCGCCTGGGTGGCTTGGTCGGTGAAGCGTCCGACTCTCAGTTTCGGCTCAGGTCATAACCTCAGGGTCGTGAGATGAAGCCTGTGTCAAGCTCCAAGCTCAGCGGGGTGTCTGTTTGGGATTCTCTTTCCTTCTCCCTCTGCCCCCCTCCACTAGCGCATGCTCTCTCTCAAATAAATAAATCTTGAAAAAATAAGAAAAAATAAAATAAAACTCAAGGCTTATAGTTCCACTGTGCTAGGCTGCCCACATGACTCTCCTGCCCCATCATACCCATATCCACACATCCCCTTAAGGGGTAGGGAAACTTTGTATCTTTGATTTAAGGGAAGTTTTCTCTGAGGTCCAAAAAAGAGGGGAGGGGAGAAATCAAAGCCAGAGTGAGCTCATACTAAATGCCCCATGGAATTTTAGACCCAAATTCAGACTTAAACCTAAGAACTGAGGTTCTAATGCCCCTACTAGGGCAGACGGTATGACTGATGTCCTCAAAGTTGGGAGGAATGTGAACAGGAACAGAGAGCCTTATCCATAAATCCTAAAGAGGGATGTTATCCAAAACATCATTGTTTCTAAGATTTTATTTTTTTATTTTTTATTTTTTTTTAAGATTTTATTTATTTGAGAGAGAGAGAATGAGAGATAGAGAGCACGAGAGGGAAGAGGGTCAGAGGAAGCAGCAGACTCCCTGCTGAGCAGGGAGCCCGATGCGGGACTCGATCCCGGGACTCCAGGATCATGACCTGAGCCGAAGGCAGTCGCCCAACCAACTGAGCCACCCAGGCGCCCTAAGATTTTATTTTTTAAGTAATTTCTACACCCAACATGGGGCTCAATCTCACAACCCCGAGATCAAGAGTCACATGCTCCACTGACTGAGCCAGCCGGGCACCCCCAAGACATCATTCTTAAATTCAACAAGAAAACAAACAACCTGATTTAAAAATGGGCAAAAGATATGAACAGACACAGCACACCAAAGAAGATATGCAGGTGGCAAACAAGCATAGGAAGAGATGCTCCATGTCATGTCATCCAAGAAATGCAAATTGAAACGACAAATAAGAGACCCCTACATGCCTATTTGAAAGTCAAAAATCCAAAACACGGTCAACACCAAATGCTGGTGAGGATGTGGAGCAACAGGAATTCTCATTCACTGCTAGTGGGAACGCAGAATGGTAGTTACTTTGGTAGACAGTTGGGCAGTTTCTAACAAAACTAAACATACTCTTATCAATAATCTTGCTCCCTGGTATTTACCCGAATTATTGAAAATCTATGACCACAAATGTTTATAGCGGCTTTTTTCATAACTGTCAAAAGTTCAAAGCAACGAAGATGTCCTTAAATAAGTGAATGGATAAACCATAGTACATCCAGACAGTGGAATAGTATTGAGCATGCACACACACACACACACAGAGCTATCAAGCCAGGAAAAGACATGGAAGAGAGTTAATACAAGTGAAAGAAGCCAGTTTTAGTCTACCTACCATATGGTTTCAACTATAGGACATTGCTGAATACACAAAACTGTATAGACAGTAAAAAGATTAGTCATTGCCAGGGGTTAGTGGGGAAGGAGGGATGAATACGCAGAGCACTCAGGATTTTTAGGGCAGTGAAACTATCCTGTATGATACTGTCATGATGGACACGTCCCTATAAATTTGTCAAAACCCAGAGAATGTACAACACTAAACCTACTGTAAACTCTGGGCTTCAGGTGATAACGAAGTATCAAAGTAGTTTCATCAACTCTAACAAATACGCCACTCTGGTGGGGGCTGAGGATAGTCTGAGAGGCAATGCTTACGTGGGGGGACAGAGGGACTTAAGAAATCTCTGTACTTTCTGCTCAGTTTTGCTATGAACCTAAAACTGCTCTAAAAAATCAAGTCTATTTCTTTTAAAAAAAAAAAGACATAAGAAAGCACTAACCAAAAAAAGAAAATACGGGCAAACCTAATCCTATTAAAATTAAGAACGTCTAAAACCAGAGAGGGAGACAAACCATAAGAGACTCTTAATCTCAGGAAACAAACTGAGGGTTGCTGGGGTGGTGGGGGGTGGGACAGATGGGGTGGCTGGGTGATGGACATTGGGGAGGGTATGTACTATGGTGAGTGCTGTGAATTGTGTAAGACTGATGAATCACAGACCTGTACCCCTGAAACAAATAACTCATTCTATGTTAATTTTAAAAAAAAATTAAGAATGTCTACTTTTTCTCATTAAAATACAACATTAAGAAGGTGAAAGGGCAGGGGTGCCTGGGTGGCTCAGTCAGTTAAGCATCTGACTTTAGCTCCGGTCATGATCTCAGTGTCCTGGGATCAAGTCCCAAGTCAGAATCCCCACTGAGTGGGGAGTCTGCTTGTCCCTCTCCCTCTGCTCCTCCCCCTGCTCATACGCGCTCTCCCTCTCTCTCTCTCTGTGTCTCAAATAAAATCTTTGGGGCACCTGGGTGGCTCAGTCAGTTAAGCATCTGCCTTTGGCTCAGGTCCTGATCCCAGTGTCCTGAGATCGATCCCCGCCTCAGGCTCCCTGTTCAGCGGGGAGCCTGCTTCTCCTTCTCCCTCTGCCACTCCCCCTGCTTGTGTTCTCTGGCTCTTCATCTCTCTGTCAATAAGTAAATAAAATCTTTTAAAAATAAAAAATAAAATAATAAAATCTTTAAAAAAAGTGAAAAGGCAAGGCACAGAGTGAGAAAAAAATCTGCAATACAAGTAACGAAAGACTTGTATCCAGAGTTTTTCAATCGGTGAAAAAAACAGTAACAAAAACTTCAGACATCTGAAGATACCTTTAAGACATCTTTAGAAACAGCTAAAGGCCACAGACCGAGGCTGACCCCAGTTCCCCTTAAAGTGCCTGCCTGAAAAAACTCAAGGCTACCAAAAGAACTTTCTGTTTGTCCCAGCCAACACCTGAAGATAGGACCCCTGCCTCCCAGTCTCCAGGGAAGGGTAGGAGCCTAACTTTAGTAAGTGCCAGTTAGCAAACCCAGATGGGTCTCACACAGGCCACATCCCCTACCCTTCCTGTAACTGTTCACTCTCCCAGTCCCCTGAGCCTTACTCCCTCCCACCCCCCTCCTTCACTCTCCCCCTCCCCCCCCCTTCACTCTCCCTTAAATTAACCAGTCACCTCTGTACAAACCAAAGCAGAGTTTGGTTCATGCTGGACTCTTTCCTATTGCAACAGTATGTTACTGATTAAAATCTGCCCTTACCACTTTATTTTTTATTTAAAAATCAATTAACATATAGTGTATTATTAGTTTCAGAGATGGAGTTTAGGGATTCATCAGTTGCATAGAACACCCAGTGCTCATTACGTCAAGTGCCCTCCTTAATGCCCATCACCCACTTACCCCATCCCCCCACCTCTCTCCCCTCCAGCAACCCTCAGTTTGTTTCTTAGAGTTAAGAGTCTCTTCCTGTGGGGCACCTGGGTGGCTCAGTTGGTTAAGCGACTGCCTTCAGCTCAGGTCATGATCCTGGAGTCCCGGGATCGAGTCCCGCATGGGGCTCCCTGCTCAGCGGGGGGTCTGCTTCTCCCTCTGACCCTCCCCCCTCTCATGCTCTATCTCATTCTCTCTCTCAAATAAATAAATAAATAATCTTTAAAAAAAAAAAAAAGTCGGGCGCCTGGGTGGCTCAGTTGGTTAAGCGACTGCCTTCAGCTCAGGTCATGATCCCAGGGTCCTGGGATCGAGCCCCACATCGGGCTCCCTGCTCCGCGGGAAGCTTGCTTCTCCCTCTCCCACTCCCCCTGCTTGTGTTCCCTCTCTCGCTGTGTCTCTCTGTCAAATAAATAAATAAAATCTTTAAAAAAAATAAAAATTAAAAATAAATAAATAAATAAATAAATAAATAAATAAAAGTCTCTTGCTGTTTGTCTCCCTCTCCGATTTCATCTTATTTTTCCCTCCGTTCCCCTATGTTCATCTGTTTTGTTTCTTAAATTCCACATATAAGTGAAATCATATATTTGTCTTTCTCTATTTCGCTTAGTACCCTCTAGTTCCAGCCACATCATTGCAAATGACAAGATTTCATTCTTTTTGATGGCTGAGTAGTAGTCCATTGTATATATATACCACATCTTCTTAATCCATTCATCTGTCGACAGACATCTGAGCTCTTTCCATAGTTTGGCTATTGTGGACACTGTTGCTATAAACATTGGGGTGCATGTGTCCCTCTGAATCACTATGTTTGTAACCTTTGGATAAATACCTAGTAGTGTCCTTACCACTTTAACCACAGCCTGGCTTTGTTTGCCCGTGATGCTAGCAACAAAAACCAACCAACCACATGTAGCTACATATAACAGTATGAGTGAATCTTATAATATAATCTTGAGCAAAAGAAGTCAGATACATGGTCTGTATGGTTTAAAAACAGGCAAAACCAAGCAGAGTATACTGTAAGCTCATTTCATTCATTCATATAGATGTGAAAATCAGAAATCATAGTAACCAAATCTAACAGTGTTCACAAAATACGCGATGATCTAGCAGGAACTACATAATACTAGGAAATCACATTAAGATAGTAAAGGAGAAAAACTGTAGGTTTATTTCCACAGACGCTGTTAAAATCAGAAACCGAGACCAACCTTGCAAATTCCCCGAGCAGGCAAAACCAGGTCAGTCATACAAACAAAGCTGAATTCTGTTTATTTTACAAGGCTAACTTGACCTGGATTATTTCTTGCTTGTGTCTCTGGAAAGAATAAGCAAGCTTTGAACGGTTTCTCAAGGCTGATAAGAGGGAACCACTGAAAATTCTAATACTGTGACCAGTCCCTGAAAAATAAATCCTCAAGGCTTTCTCACTATGAAGCTTGA